TTTAGCTGCAGATTTTTACTACGTTTAGCTGCAGTTTTACTACGTTTAGCTGCAGTTTTACTACGTTTAGCTGCAGTTTTACTACGTTTAGCTACAGTTTTGCTACGTTTAGCTGCAGTTTTGCTACGTTTAGCTACAGTTTTGCTACGTTCAGCTGCAGTTTTGCTACATTTAGCTGCAGTTTTACTATGTTTAGCTGCAGATTTTTACTACGTTTAGCTGCAGTTTTACTACGTTTAGCTACAGTTTTACTACGTTTAGCTGCAGTTTTGCTACGTTTAGCTGCAGTTTAGCTGCAGGTTTGCTACGTTCAGCTGCAGGTTTGCTACGTTTAGCTGCAGTTTAGCTGCAGTTTTTTCTACGTTTAGCTGCAGTTTAGCTGCAGTTTGTTAATTTTATCTTCAGCCTGTTCTGCAGCTCAGTTTCAGCTCCGTCATCATTCATCAAACCGAAAAAGTTTCTGTTATTCCAGAGTTTTTTCTTTCTTTTTGACGGCTCCTGTCTTGGTTTGTTTTTAACAGAGAGCTTAAAGACCGGAGCAACGTTCACGTTCGTCACAGAGGGGAGGTCTTACCTTCAGGCTGAAGATCTCGTTGTAGCAGTGAGAGCTCCTCAGGTACCAGGAGATGTTCAGCAGGACAGAGTCGGGACAGCTGTTGGACAAGACTGAGGACACAAACGGGACAACAGAGAGTTAAATCTACTGGAGCTTTCAGACGAGTCAGAAGGAGACGTTTGACCCGGAGGACCCGGACCTTTCAGGTCGATGGAGCTGCTGTTGAACAGTGTCTTTCTGAAGAAGAAGAACTGCACATCGTCCTTCAGCATCTCCTGAAAGAATCCAACAAAACAGGATTAAACTTTTTTTTTGATTTGTGTTGAACATCCGAAAATCAGCTAAACGTGTTTATTTATTCAACAACAGATAACCTGAGTTCATCCTTAAATTCTAACGGTGTCTTAACACAACGCCAGGGTGGAAAGACAGCAGCAATGACCTCATGAAGCAGCTGGGAAGGGTCAAAGGTCATTTAGAGCTGAGATTCTTAACTCATGGGCCACCTTGAGGGTCTCCAAAGAACAACAGTTTTTAACTTTGGGCCGTGGGATCGCATTGATTTTGAATAAGGTGCAATTCATTTTCTCACCACTAGTAGCAGTAGTGTGCCACTCAGTGTTTAACAACTTTTTTTATATGTAGAGAAGAACCTTAAAAACCTACGGAGTCCGCGAGGGGACATGGGGGGATTTCTTTTCTTTTGCGTTCCCTCGCAATACTTTTGCATTCCCTCGCAATACTTTTGCGTTCCCTCACAATACTTTTGCATTCCCTCGCAATACTTTTGCGTTCCCTCACAATACTTTTGCGTTCCCTCACAATACTTTTGCGTTCCCTCACAATACTTTTGCGTTNGATACAACAACACATTCAGCTCCTAATGATACAACAACACAAATTGAAGAAGCAGTAGTTTGGGCCCACTCACCTCAGCTGAAGGCCGTATGATGCTGTGAGTCCAGTTTCTTTATTTCTTATTCTCTCTGGACAACATGAGTCCCTCTGTGTTCCTCAGGTGCAGCAGGTCAGGTTGTGTAGACTGTCTGTCAGTTTTCTTCACTCCAGCTCATTTTTGTTTTCAAAATCTTAGTTTCRAATGTATTTAACATGTCAGAGCCTGTAGGACATTAAAACAATAATAAATAACATCTTCTAACCCGCTCTGCCGCTGTCATAAGTTCTCCATTTCTTCCTGCTCTACCTGACATCTCCACGGTCGACAGTCCACCTGTTCCCCCCATCCCTCCACACCTGTGCGTGGGATTAATACAGATTTTTTTGTTAAAATAATGGATTTGAGGCTCATTATACAGGTAAACATCTGAAGGGGCTGACATGTCTGCAAGTGGTGAGCTTYAACTCAGAGGATGACTCGGTGACTGGAAGAGTCAAAAATAAAAAGAGAGCAGTGSAAACCTCACTGAAGGTACTGCTGGATGGAAGTGGTTTTTATCACATCCACAAAAGACTTTTGTTATCTGGTCTCTGAAGAGGTTCTAAATCAAAGCAGGCTGGACTCTTCTGGATGTGTTCAGAGGAGGGCCCGCTTTCACCATCTGCCTCATGTGTGGTAGGGTCGGCTCCAAACTGGTCCCATCAGGTCCCATCAGGTCCAGTGTGAGGAGCTCGGAGAAGAATGTGCAGGAAATGTCAGATTGCACAATAAATCCAGTGATAAATGTTGAAGTCTGAGCAAAACAACTATTGTGATAAAGCTGGTGATTTACAGCCCTGCTGGTGGTGATGGCCTCTCTGGAAAATGAGCAGAAGAAAAGAAGCAACATGCTGCCATGCTGTCGTCACAAAAACAAGGAAAGCAGATCGAGAAAGTTAAAATTCATCCTTTCTTCCACTTATCTAGTCAAACCTACAAATAAATGACTAAAGTGGTGTAAAAAATAGAAAAATAGTTGCCATTCTACATTCAGGAAGTTCAAGCCAATTATAGAACATTTCAACAAAAAATCTTTGCATCTAAACAAGCTCAAAGTAAATATGGGATCAATTTAGGATAGTTTGTGTACATATACTGTGTATTTACTGATACTATCATAAGGTGTGTAAGTAAAGCAGAACCAACACTGAACAGAAACTCAGGAGAGTATAAAGGTAAGTGATTTTATTTACAGGAGGGGATGATCAGGTCCAGGCTGTAAGAGGTTCTGTAGAGCAGGCAGGTTAGTGACTGAGGGCTCTGATCTGACAGAGTTTCCAGGAGGCAAACAGCACCGAGAGGAGGGCGAGTTCAGGGGTAGTTACAGGTGAGGGGCAAAGGTTTGGCTCCAGGAGGACTCTTCAGGCAGAGAGGCAGGTGATCCAGGCTGCAGCACACAAACAGAGACTCAGGAGGATCATCCAGGTAAACTTACTGAACACAGAGAAGAAAACTTAAAAAGTGTGTTSCTCTAGTGAAGACCAGAAGTTAGACGGTGCCCTATAAAACCTCACAGCTCATCAGGGAGGATGAGCAGAGCTGCAGGTAAACACAGGAGCCAGAACGTATGGAACACTCACAGTGCCACAGATACCAGGAATCCTTTGGGAAAAGGAAATAGTGCATGGAAATAATTCATGTATTTTTGTGGCATATTGCCCACATGTTTTAGCTTTAGTAACTGATGCTTTGTGTTTGCATATGCTTTTGAAGACTGCATTGTGATGTGGTCTCAGTGTAAATATTTGGATTATGTACTAAACTGTGGTGTTATGCTGAAACGTTAGAAGGATAAAGCTGGTTTGTATTCCATGAGAAGGAAGACGTCTCTCGCTGACATAGTTGAGAGATGAAATTTAAGGGTTTTCCTTCTTGAAGTCCCAATGAGATCCTGTCCTGTGCACATCCCTCTGATAAAAACTAGTTTCTCACAGGGTATGAGCCAAATGTTGTGTGACTGGTCAAAGCTTCGTTGGCCTGTTTGTTTATGAAAAGTGGAATCACTACACTTTTCATAAAGTGTTTAAAATACAACCATTTTTACAACTGTTCATGCAAAACTTCTATACATATTTGAAAAACTAACTCAAGGAAGGAGATTAGACAGTTTTTGTGCTTGGATGAGACAGTGTGAAGGTACAGGTCTATAGCTGTACTGACTGAGAGGGAGTGTCTCCCCCCAGCAGAAACACAATATTTAAGTTGTATTTTTGTGATTCTTCTGTTGTCCATGGTTCATTTTATGATCTGCCTACTCTGCTTCATGTCTAACTAATGAAACACGTGGGGTGTCAAAGTCCGTCCTCAGGAGCTGGTGTCCTGCATGTTTTAGGAGCTGCTCTGGTTCAACACAGCTGAACCTGAGTAGGCCTCCTCAATGTGCCATCAAGGTCTGCAGAGGCCCACTGATTAAACACTCCTTAGGTTCAGCTGAGTTGAACCATAGCAGCTCCTAACATGCAGGACACCGGCCCCTGAGGACTGGCTTTGGACACCACTGCTTTAAACAGACCAGAGTTAATTCCCCCGTTGGTCCGGACCTTTTGTGCAGGTGTGAACACACTCATTCAGATCAAACAACTGGACCGAGACCTGTTTTTGAGGTGGTCTTGGTCAGCTTCCGAACAAACTGTGGTGTTGTGGGTGACCCTGTTATTTCTGTCCAGTGGGAGCAGTGATCATCACCCGCATGGCTTTCTTTATAAATTATAGTAGGCTTGCAAAAATCACAATGTGAATACAAACCACACCAAAGGATAAAAATAAAGTCTGCTATCTGATCCGGACCAAACAAATGGACCAAAGGACTCTCCTGGTGTGAATACACCCTTACATATTTTACTATTCCAGGACAACTAGTGCAGTTCCTTCAAACAAAGAGCTAAAACAGGGGAAGCAGAAATATCCTTTATAAACACTACAGAGCCACCGAGGGGACATGGGGGGATTCTTTTCTTTCGCGTCACCACACAATACCTTTGTGTTACCTCACAATACCTTTGTGTTACCTCACAATACCTTTGTGTTACCACACAATACTTTTGTGTTAACTCACAATACTTTTGTGTTACCTCACAATACTTTTGCATTACCTCACAATACTTTTGCGTAAACCTCACAATACTTTTGCGTTCCCTCACAATACTTTTGCGTTCCCTCACAATACTTTTGCGTTCCCTCACAATACTTTTGCGTTCCCTCACAATACTTTTGCGTTCCCTCACAATACCTTTGCATTACCTCACAATACTTTTGCGTTACCTTGCAATACTTTTGCATTCGCTGGCAATACTTTTGCGTTACCTTGCAATACTTTTGCGTTACCTCACAATACTTCTGTGTTCCTTCATAATACTTTTGCATTACCTCACAATACCTTTGTGTTACCACACAATACCTTTGCTTTCCCTCACAATACTTTTGTGTTACCTCTCAATACCTTTGCATTACCTCACAATACTTTTCCATTACCTCGCAATACTTTTGCGTTACCACACAATACCTTTACTTCCCTCACAATACTTTTATGTTACCACACGAAACCTTTGCGTTCCCTCACAATACTTTTGTGTTACCTCACAATACTTTGGCGTTACTTCACAATAATTTTGAGTTACCACACAATACCTTTGTGTTCCCTCAAAATACTTTTGTGTTACCTTGCAATACTTTTGTGTTACCTCGCAATACTTTTGCGTTACCTCACAATACCTTTGTGTTACCTCAAAATACCTTTGCGTTGCCTCACAATACTTTTGCTTTACCTCACAATACCTTTGTGTTACCTCACAATACCTTTGTGTTACCTCACAATACCTTTGTGTTCCCTCAAAATACTTGTAGGAGATACTCCAACATAACTTCTCATATTTAACCTAATTAATATCGACTAATATTAATATAGTTAATATATGAGGAAACGGGTTCTTTTATT